TCTTAATTCTATCTTCTAATTCTATTTCTGATCTATTTGATTTACACCTACTTTTGATAAATGTAGTGACTATTTAATGACTATTTAATTCTGAGTTCCTTAGATCTTCTGACTTCCTTTAATTAGAAAAATTTAATTTATTAAAATAAGACAACATATTGCACATATGCGCAATAATAAAAAAAAAAGAAAAGAAAAAAGAAAGAAAGAGAGAATCATGAGAATCATGGAATCAACAGAATGGATTCGGTTTTATAATGTTCTACTACATAGTTTCAGAAATAGGTGAATTCAATAGTGATAAACGTAAAATTAATATCGCTTGTCTAAAAATAGTGTTATTATATACGCGTATTTACACTTGCACCTATGATATAAAATTAGTATTATTGTAACGCTCGCGTTATACATAATACTAAAAAGCTATGATTTCTCTGCATCGCGTGATGATTTCGCAGACTTATTTTTGTCAACATCTACGACTTTTCTCTCGCACGACATTACGTCGTTCTCCTCTTCTTCCTCGTGGATCCCTTCGTGACAGGAATCGCTTCGTGATTTACTTCTTATGTAAACCGCCAAGTTTCTCCTTTTCATTTCTTTGCATAAGTGACAGTTTTCTTTGGATTGTTGCTGCACGTTTCGCTGGTTTTCCACTGTTTTTCCTAAAACAATAACATGAGACGAACTATTGAAAAGAGAAAGAATCCAGCTTTTTTTCAGCAATCGGGATATTTATCTCTACATTATTTTTCATATTTTTGTAAAATATCTGACGAGTATTTATTATAGGAATTGAAAATACGCGTTCTGTCGATAGACATTGCAAGAATTCAGTGTCGTATTTTACAAGTTATATAAAACTTGCCGGTCAAACCGGTTTATTTATTCTTTGGTATATTTGCTCCGAGCTGGCCAACGTGAATATCTACAGTGTAATATTTTTCTTAATATCGAGACATGGTGTGATTTATGAATGATAATGATACAAAATAGTTTACAAGAAAAGTCTATTTGACATTTCGCGAATCAAACTAGAACAACGGAACTATTGACTATTTTCATCGAACTATAAATGCAGATATTTATAGGCGAATATCAAACTTTCCTCGATATTAAACTCCCATTAAAACATAATTACAAATGAAAAAGTGAATCGAGATATTTGTACGCGTAATATTTTATAGACTCGAGAGTGACGAGATCAAAGTTACTTTGCTGATCACAAAAAATAAATTAATAAATTCTTAATCGTTTATTTAAGACCTTCGGTCTCACTCAATCGTGTCGCGCACATGTAATATTTACAAGCTTTCGAAGTCTGATTGTACGCCATACATCTGATATCGCGAACAAATAAGCGGACGTAAGTAAATGAGAAATTTTTAGCGAGCGAATTAATCATTATTCCAGTCAACAGGTACTTTATTCGATATATGTAGATTGAATACAATTGTTCCCATAATTTTCCCATAATTTTTAACGGATGAATTAATCCGAATTCCAGTTAATGCGTTCTTTACTCGACATGTAGATTGTTAAGCGTAATTGTTTCTACGTCGAGATACGTCGGTATCATAGCGCCGGTGACCGTCACGGCATTCAACGGTAGTTAATTAAAAAAAAAAAAAAGGAAAAACTTCTGACGTACGATCTTGAACGCGTTCACCTGTAGCGCCAGATGATTATACCTTTACCCGTGAGTCACGGATATCCGTCGTTCCACCTCCTGCCTTGGCGGAGACACTCGGACGTAATCTCCGGAGCGTATCGCAAGCGCGCTGACGGATCGCAATTATATATTTAAACGCCTGATTAATCCGACGGGAATGAATCAACAACGTCGGGAGAATTGGAATTGCAAGATTTATTTCGCTCTCTTTTAAGAGCACCTCGTCCGAGGCTCCGGAGTTTAATTGCAATTGAAATTTCGCAAGCGCCTCGGCGATTGATAATTGGAACGGGCGGCGCGGGCGCCATACGGTATTTCCAAAAGCGATTTACGATTTGGTGATAAGAGGAGAGGAGAGATGCTGCGACGTGCTCGAAACGCGCGATTCGGGTCATAGCGCGTGGCCGCCTAAAGAAACCGGCTAAAAATAGACACGTGTGTATCGCAGAAACGTTAGCGCACGCACGACAGCCGCTCGGAATAAACGTCGGAATAACGCGCGAATTATTCGCGACCGCTCCACCCGGGGGGACATACATATTTTTTTTCTTCCTTCGGAATTAATTCGGTTACGTTTCCGTAACCACCGCGGAGGAATAGATTCGATTTCGATCCTATCGAACGATCCGTCATCATTCCTCAAAGCGAGGAATTTAAATGCAGATGTAATCGGCGTTGGCGCCGATAACGTATGATAGTTTTACGACGTGCCCATTATTTTCGCAACGTAATCCTCGCTCTTTAATCGATGTATCTTTTTTGCCGAGATAAATCCAGAGATCTTGACGCACCTTGATAAAACATATCCTAGTTGATCTGATACGTCGCAACTTATCGCTTTTAAATGCGATAACATGCGAGGGCGAACTTCCCCCCCCTTTTTTTTTTTTATTTCGCCGTTAATGTGCCGGGCGCAACAAACACGTGTGTCGAGATATCAATGCTGATCGCAACAGTCGCAATTTGATGTGAGACGAAAGGTAGACGCGACCGTGAGATATCGAGATATTGTGAATTCGCGCAGGTAAACATTCCGTGCCATGATTTGTATAATTATGTAACTCTTATCTCAACGTTACAACGACGTAAACAGAGGAGAGTGATTTGCATAAAAAATACGATAACGCGATTTGTCTTTTCGATACGAAGGAAATGTCTTTCCTCTCGTCTAGATCGTTGATGGCGATTTGATCTCGCATAAATTACGGTATTTCGATGAAACGTTTTATTCGAAAGCGGAATAATTACAGCTGTAAATGTCACGCTTGCTGGCGGAAGCGTATTAACGATTGAACGAACCCGTTCGACAAAAGCGCGAGCTCGTAATTTTTTCCTTAACCGCAACGCAAGATACACGATATATTTAGATTAAGCGGTTTAACATATGATAATGTATGTGATGATAAAGAGAATCAACACATTGATGAAATCGTTGATTATTTAGCTAGTCATATATTCCGCGTTTTTTTTTCAAAACAGGAATGCGTGAGCAAGCTATTGACGCAGTTACTTTAAAATTGCAAAAGAAATGCGCATAATACGCGATACATGATATATATCTTCGTTAGCTATTTTTTTAATCTACCCGACAGATATGATGTATATTCGATTGCAGCAATATATTTAAATCGTAACAGGAATATGACATAGTTTCGCAAAGATTTTTTTTATAATTTATTTTTATAATCTATTATCTCTCTGTATTATCTGTTGCTTTACTTGAATAATCCCGTTCTCTTTTCCCGTTCTCTTTTTATTAAGAAACGTATAAAGATTGTTTATTAAAATATAAATTATGTGAAAAAATAGGAACAAAGCGACTAAAAGTTGAACGCGGTTGTTGATGCGCAATTATATTCAGTAATTATTGCACATTAATAAATTAAGTAATTATTGCACATTAATAAATTATTGAAATTAATAAATTAAGAGACGCAATAAAGAAACGCACTTGCATCTCCTAATGCATTCATTTCTACATAATAATTATTAATAATTAATATATTAGAAAACGCGAGTACGTTTTTTTTTGCGCCTTCTAATGTAATTCAATTTCTTTATACAATCTCCAATTCTCTTAATCCTTTTTGTTGTTTTTTTTTTCTTATTTATTTTAAATTTTCTAGATGAATTATTTATTTAAAACGATGATTTTTAAATAATATATTTATAAATAAATAATTTTTTTAATTTATGTCTTCATACGAATAATTATGAAATTATTATGTTTATTTGGAACATTCTGTTATTTTTATTCGTGCACTACGTAGTGAAAGATATATTTTGCGACGTAAAATATGACGCAGATTTTGATTACACAAAGGCAGCTATTGTCCGCGAATTTTCCACGATAATTACTGAGCCATTATTTTGTATGCAAATATCGACAAAATTAATAAAAAGTATCTTATTGCATTTTTACGATATTCCTAACAATAAATAAGTTTCTAATTTTTTTTTATACATTATACTTAAGAAATATTCTACTCGTTGTTCCGAGATATAGTTTTGTATTTCGAATATTTTATTTTTATGGTAAATATCACGTGAAAAATTTTCAGAACAAAAAAACGTACATTTTGTTCTGGAAAAATTATACTTTTCTAATTACAATATTTTTCATCGATGCACGATTATATTTGCGTTGATCTTGTTGCGCAAGCAATAAACAGATCTTCCGCTATATTACAGATGACTTGTTTATATAGTTATGTGGCAGAACTAACAATGATAGTTCCTGCAATTTCCACGCAAAGCCCGATGAAAGTGCTTGCAATTTCCGCCCGGGACTTCCGATATTGCCGCTGTCATAATTTCCCTGCAATTTCCTCAGTCGCTTTGCTAGCTCGCTTCACCTTGACTGCTCTACTTTTGTCGCTTTATTGCCATGTTTTACTTCAATTACTTCACTATCTTGTTCAATTTTGTTCAAACAACACGTTAATGCAACATTTGAGAATTCCTCGGATTACTTTGGTATTTATATATCTAGTTAAAATGCTAAGAAAACGGGAAATCTATGTAAATTATCAGGTTTTGTAAATTATCTATGTAAATTATCCGGAAGATATTTTGAAGTAAATTAAGGTAAATTTTTTTTTATTTACAGTGATATCGATGCTATCGTTTGAGGCAGTTTCCTCGTTTGTATAGATAATTAAATGAGCGAATATTCAAGCGAAGCAATTCTGCACTCGTGAATTCGACTAACGGATAGATACATTTATAGCTATCGGTCCAGACTAACAGGATTAAAATCAGAGATAAGATACATGTTTTCCTTCAAAGAAACGCAAAGAAATGTTATCTCGAGATAATTTACCAATTGAGCAAATTTCTCAACTTATAACTTTTCCACATAGCCAAAAATACAATGTTTATCTAGTAATTTATTCTCGCAATTTTTGTGCTTAAAAGCATGGGAGAAATACATGACAAGAGACAAGGAAAGTACCATCTAGTCGATTGAGTTAAATTGGTTGTTCCTAAAGTGTAGATTTTTCAAACAGTTTGAAAAAGTAACATTTAGCTTATGATCGGTACCGTACAAAAAATATAGTTTATGTTATTTATATACTATAGATACCTTTCTAATAGGAAATCTGAAAAGAGTTCATAATTAAAATACAAACTAGGGATTTGTCTAGTAAATGTAAAAATGAAAAATATTTCCAACTTTTCCAGACTTTCCCTTTACTAAGATGTGTGGTCAATGTTTTCCGCTACCGTTAGAAAATTATGCTACGTGATGTTTGCGAAATAAACGCTGCACCGAGTAAACATTCGTAATTAATTCTCACGACGTAACTGCTCCATTTTTTCCCCAAAGTTTCCCCAAAGCATTGTTATATCGAGAAAAAGAAAAAAAAATTTTATATTAAATTTCATTTAATATAAAAAAAATTCAGTTTCATCGACGCGTAATCAAACTTTCTATAGCGTTTCAAGGGATATCGTATTTTGACTTTTTAATTTTTATTAGAAATCTCGATATTGAGATTTTGTTTTGCGAAGAAAGATAAGCGTTTCTCTTCAAATTTTCCTTGAAACTTGCCGAAGAATATTTTAAAGACTATCAACAGCTCTGATACCCAGTGAAGAGAACGTGTATCTTTAATTATTTTAAACTTGAAAAAAGAAACTGGCTTCGAGTCGGTGAAGAAACGAATTCGTGGTCGAAAAGTTCGTCCTGTATGTCCATTCAAGGACGAGCGTATAACTTGCGAGGAAGCTTATCGCTCGTTATTATTACTATACTATTAATTCCGCATCGTAACTAGAACATTTGGTTAGTTATCAGTTAATAAGCCGTGGTCAAGGACGGTAATTCTAGAAAACAGTTTTCGCAATGCGCGTGCACGAATTAGCTACGTTCCATCGTATCCAATTACCAGATGAAGTATAAACCCATTAATCAAGCGCGGTTACACGTGAAGAGACGGACTTCATACTTACGGCTGCTATTGCTGCCGCACTTGAAATAGTCCTTGTTCCACGGTTGCTCGTAGTCGCGGTATTGCGCATTCCTCAAATACCCGTAGGTGAACACCTCTGGTATGTAAACGAGGTCCATAGCTTTTCTTCGGCGCGATTCGAGCTGTCGAAATGTTTGGCGGGAGATATACGGATTATCGTTGTCGTCTCGCTTGTTCAGCAGCTCATATGCCGAAGCATATCTTTCAAGAGACTGAGGCTGAAGTTGAAACTGAAGCTCAAGCTAAAATTGAAACTGGAGCTGAAGTTGAAGCTGAAGCTAAAACTAAAGCTAAAGCTAAAGCTGAAGCTAAAGCTGAAGCTAAAGCTGAAGCTGCGGGAGTGGCCCAGTTGACAAGATCGTGATGCGTTTATTCGTCTGGGCGGAAGAACCGCGTAGTTTCTTTCTTCTGCGGAAAAAGCGTGTCGTGCCCGTCTCCGATCGCTCTCGCTTCGAACTAACGAAGCGCATGGACGCTACGCACATAATGTTTACTGCGGGCCTTCCTCCCCACTCCGCTTCCCGCCGGTTCTTCGTCTGTCTCCGTTCATCGCTTCTTCCGCGCGACACATCTTCCCGTCCTTCGGGACGCGTACGCGCTCGTTTACGTTCTCGAATGCCCCACCTTCCGCTCCACCAATCACCTTCCGCCGTTCTTGTAGATTTGCGCGACGCGCAAAAGGTAACGACACTCGCGACAGGGAGAGCCGCGTGCGTACGTGCATGCGTATACGCGTACGCGCACGCATACGCGCACGCGTACGCGTGCGTACGTGCGTACCGGCGCGTGCGCCCTGGCGCCGGAATACTTCGTCTTATTTATGTTTTTCTTGAATTCGATATTTTACTTGAAAACAAATCGCTTTTTTTTTCTGCAGTGGCAAGCCGATAAGATAATTCAGTTGTCGATCATCAGAAATACATGGCGTCACATCAATTTGCTGCTAAATAATTATTGCATCGATATTGCTTAACAATATCGTTGTATCATATATACAGTTTTTATTATATCTTATATCTAATTATATAAAATTATATATAATTTTTTACCGGATTAGTACTTCTCTCGATTAAATTGGGAACGAAATGATTTCTTCCGAAAAGTCTGTTTGTGATCTTTTATTTAGATAATATTTTATATATTTTCGGAATTTTTTCATTAATTTTGCTATATTTATTTTCCTATTGTTTATAAAGTATTTATAAGAGATAACATGGGAAGAGATAAACCATGCACGAGAAGATATGAATTTAGTTTACCTCAGCAGATACATCATACTTTCATGAAGAAATGTGACATATGATCCTAATATGGATTTATCTTATATCTCTTTCTGTGTCCGATTCATATCCTATTTCATATGTTGGCATGGATAAAAATTATGGTCGCAAATAATTAAAACACATCGCAATGTTTGCGATATATCTGATCGTCTTGAGGATGTTTTTTTATTGCTTCCATCGATCACGCTTTCTGCTGCATGTAAAAACAATTTTTTAAAATCTGTAAATACACAGATAAACTCAACAGATGGTACTTGTAGTTGTAGTACTTGTAGTACTCAGTAATGATATCAACTTTATGACATTTTGAAGTTGCCAATCAACGGGTACCTTATTCTCGTGATATTTTTACGATATTTATCAAAGATCATCATGTGCAATTATATATTAGCAAAACGGTAGATACAAAAACTGGGTGTGACATTACTTTCCAATTTTTTTATTTCTAACTTGTTTCTTCTATGCATTTAATTATTTTTTTCTTCTTATTTCAACTTTTTTTTTGTTTAATTTTTCTTGTATTCTTCTCTTTCTTCAAATATTTATTTACTAATTTTTTGTTACTTTTAAAGTTCTTTTAAATTAAAGTCCTTTTTTTGTTAAAAAAAATTATTACAAATTTAATTTGTTAATTTTTCGTTTTTATATTTTTTCTTCTTTTTTTCGGTTTTTCCTTATCATTTAACTTTTTTGCTATTTCTCTTTTCTTCGAACATCTTTTTATATTTTCTTCTTTTACTATTTTCATATTTTGAAATCTTCTTTTAATACTGTTTTGTCAAAAAAAATATATTGAAAGTTTAATTTAATTTTTCATTTTTATCATATAAATATTCATCAATTTAATATCAAATACAATGTACACAGGAGGCGCCATTTCAAATGTTTTATCTGTTTATCTTTTTTTTAGTATTTTATATTCCCTCTATATCAGTATCTTCAGTTATGATTTGTGATATCAAAAATCGTTCGTTAATAATATTATAAATAATATATATCAAATTTTTCTGCAAATTTAAAAATCTTTACCATTATTTTTTTCACACAAAATTGTATTACTTACACTATTATAAAAATTTTTTACACATACATGCAATACAAAATATATATTACATACAAAAATCGATATTTTATTTAAGATCGCTGTGAATACAGCATATTTTAAGATAACAAATTTGTTGATTTTCTTATTAAGTACATAAAGACAGAAAAAATACTTTTTCTGCAAGTACGCAAATGATTCATTTCAATGATTCGTGTGTGACTCATAGTTATATAAATTTCCTTAAATTTTTTATTGCTACTGCACTTCTTGATATTAATTTTAAACTTTGCAATTGCAATTGTGCTTTGTATAAAATTCTCGATCAATTTTTACTTTCCATTGTATTATTTGATTCCTTATTTTTTGCGCGTTGAAAATTTGTGAAGACAAAATTGCGAATTATGAAGTATAGAAAATAGAAAGATTTGGAAGATTAAAATTAAAAATCAAGAATTTACGAGATTATCTTTGGTAAAAACAAAGAATACAAAAGGAAGAGTCTATCTTTTGAAATTTTCGATATTTAAGGAGATAATACGCTGATTGATGGATGGAAGCGTGAAAAACGATAATAATATCCACCGATTGAATTCGTACATGATTAGACTTACGATCACTTTTGATATTTGATATAATTCACGATACTGGGCAATATTTTTTATCATATACGATATATCATATTAAATAACGGCAAATAGTAAATTAGAATTTTATGCAAAAACATTTTTGTAGGAAAGCCTGGGAGGAAATTCACGTACGGCAATGCTGGGCACGGTATCACCGGCAAATATTCACGTGGAGGAGACTTTGGCGACTCTTCGATATGCTTGCCAGGCTCGAGCTATAGTTAATCGAATCCGAATCAATGAAGATCCGCACGATCGGTTAATTCGGTAAAACATCTCCCTCTAATATAATTTTCAATGCAACAGAAAACTCCACATTCTCGCTTCTTGAGAAAATTATGTATATACCATATTAAATTATTAATCATTAGCTAAAAAATTGGAATTTTATTATTGTGATACACTTCAACAAAAGTCTAATTTAATGATCTGACTTGTCTCGATAGCGAATTAAAGGCCGAAGTATTACGTTTGCGTGGAGTCCGCGAGGGATATGAGAAGCAGCTTGGAGTTATACCTCGCCGATTGCTCGATTGCATCGAGCCGATTCACCAGCCCGATGGGGAAGTTAAAAAAAGCAGAAGGAAATTGATAAACTGAAAGATCGATTGAAGAAGACGGAGGAGCAATTGGCTGCCACTCAAATGTAAGTCAAATCATTTGATACACAAGATAAAAAGTTGTAAATGAGATAATAATATATATTTAAATTCTTGTGATAATCTTTAATTTAAAATTAATTATTTTTTATTTGTCTTTAGAACAATTTTATAATAAATTTTTAAATAATTGAAAGTATTATAATTGTAAGATATGAGTTTCAGGTATGGATGTATAATATGCTTCATTTTCTGTTGGCGTTGCAATTTTTGTTAAGAAATCGAAAGTTATAATTTAATATTGCCTTTATATAATATTAATACTATTTTTTAAAACTTATTACATTTATTAGGATAAATATATAATTTATTAGGATAAATATGTTCTCGTAAATGAAGCTATCTGTTGCAGGAGCATATTATTAGGAGTGATATCATTAGGAGTGTCGAAAATTTGATTAACTATTTTCTCAACTTGCATTGAATTAGTAAGACTTAATCTTTAGCTACATATAATTACAGGAGTTGGCGCGAAAAGTTCGAGAGAGCTGAAGAGAAAAAAAGCTCGGAGCTCAAATATTTGCGTCGTTGCGGAATCGCCATCGAGATTGATTTCCAAGAGAGAGATAAGCAACCTTGTCTCGTAAATCTCGCGGCCGATCCTATGTTATCCGGTACACTTTTGTATCTCATACCTCCAGGTTTGGTTCGTATCGGTAAGAATAGCAGACCTGAAGCTACTTCCAAGAATCTGGATATTATATTGGATGGACCTCTCGTTAGGGAATTGCACTGGTTAGTCATGGATTGTGTGCGTTTGATTGTTGAGTCGCCTAGGTAGAATCTTGAGAGAAAGAATGAATTGCTATGCGAGAAAAGGAGAAATATTTTCTAATCACCATGCTGAATTTTCTCTTCTGTCAAATATATTTGGGTGTTTATTATATTTGATTATTTGAAATATATTTGCTGTGAACTTATTCCCCATTTTGTACTAACAACTTCGAAAGTTCCTCGGAATTTTTAAGAGATATGAAACATAAAAAAATTACATGTTTTGGCCAGCGATTGTAAAGTCGTTGAAACACATTTTTGGAAAATCTTTGAAATTTTTTTTGCTCTTTTTGCAGCTTCAATAGTCGACATCATCAAAAAATGTTCTTTTGAAGAAAAGCCCGCTATAAAACTTTTTCATACATTTTTCGTACATTTGAAATCTTCAGATTCTCTTATCGTTTCATTGACTATTATTGTAGTAAAATACAAAATTTAGTGATTTATTTTTTTTTTAACCGCGCAATTTCATGCGATGCAATTTCATGTGGGTTGAAAGAACAAAGGTCTGTTGTTGTTAATCTGTTAGAACTTGTAAGATAATTTTTCTCATTTCCTTGCAAATTTTGCGAATTATCACAACTAATTCCAGGAATTTTTTGAAGCTAACAAATATTACTATTCATCAGCACGCTTTGCATTATTTATCTCTTAATGAACTACTTATTTTTTATTGTCATGCATGTATAATGTTATTATTATTGTACAACAAATCGGATAGTATCGCAACTATTCGTACAATTATTATATTATTTTATTAATTAGATGGACTCTGATAAGTGTAAAACAAATTTGGTGTTTCTTATAATTTTACAATCTATGATTTGCTATGTTGATTTGCTACATGATTTTCATATTCTATTTATAGTTACATTATATCATGTCGGAATCCTGTTAGCATTGTGTCGCATTATACAGCATTATATGCATTAGGGATTATATGCAACATTAGGGATTCACAGGGAGTCATCGAATAAATTGAAATTCGAATAAGTCAGAGAGTTATAATACAATATGCAAACGTTGCTAATAAATATACAATGAATTGTATTTGTGAACAGCTGCACGTGTTATTTTACAAAAACAAAATACTCATCAAAATGCTTGTTTTTACTTTTTGCTGAATATTCATATCTTATTATTGGAATAAACATTTAATGTCTTGAAACATTTTTTGAGGAAAGGAAATAATCAGCATTATATTTAATTATCAATTTTATTAAAGAAAAAAATTTAGCTTCTAGCTTTGAATTATTATGTTACAAGTCCATTAAAAATAACGACGACATTTTATTTTAAATTTATATATGTGTGTGTGTATATATATATATATATATATATATATATATAATAA